TCATAGCCAAGGATTCAAAAGGAAAAGAAATAGGGAACTCTTTCCACTAGAGACAGCAAGATGGTTGAGAAAAGAGCAAGTTCTTGTGTTAGACTTATTTCTTTTCCCTTGCTAATAACAACACTCAAAACAATGCTGACCCTTTGCACTTTTGTACAAGGAAAAATAGAAATACATACACCCAAGATAGCAAAATGTTATATTTTGTATCCATGTTCTTCTGTAGTCAGCTTCTCTCATCATGCACAACAAAGATAAAAGCTCTCTCCTGCAGACCCTGCAGGCAGCCCTTTCCTAACTAGTGCTACCTCATGCCTCTAGAAAAACCATCTTCCAAAATGACTACCACTCTGGACACTGACTAGCATCATTAAGATTAAAAACTTGATATCTATTAACAACCAATTGCTTAAAATTTAAAGTCTCCTTTAGAGAAAAATACATTAATTTACCATCCACTCTACTACCAAAAGTCACGTTGAGCAAGAGAAGCCTCTAACAGAAAGTCCTTGGTCAGGAAAAATATTGTTTGCTGTACAGCCTCTCTTCTTATTCACCATGTCAACACTGACGTAGGAGAAATAGGGGAGGCAGGAAGCAAAAGTTATTCAAATAGGGTGTTAGGCAAACGAATATCTACTGCTGAACAAAAGCATGAAATTTAAGTAATTTGAGAAGAAACACCAAACAAATGCTAACTGAAAAACTGCCTCTGCAAATGTAAGGAGAGGTATTTTGAAAGTATTTCCAACTTTTATGTCCTACACTTTCATAAAAAGGCCACCGCATCTTTTCTTGCGGGCTTGATCTACAGCTTTTAGCAGCTGATGCTTTGGGAGCTCCACGATAGTAGAGTGACACGTGTCCTCATATGACATACACAGTTATAAAATAACAAATGGAAATCTATTCCACATCTCACATGTTCATAATGTTGCAATTAAAGCTCTGACTACACTTGGACTCTTACAGTTTCAGACATAAGCAGCAGCTCAAAAGAAAGCAGGCACTCATATTTGTATGCTGCCCCTCTCCTTTCATTCATTTAGTTCTTTAATTATTTTTAAATAGAGGAAGGAAAAGGTTTTGAGGCAAAACGCTTCCAGTAGGGGAGGTACTTGCCCAAAATTTCCATTCTACTAAGTAAAGGTTCTTCCATGAAAAGGCCTCATATTGTTTTTCACTTTAGGGTCTACTGTGTTTAATTCTAAAAAACGACACCACTGGACTCTTAGCTATTAAGCTATTCCTAGGAAAAGGATGTGTTTTATGCAGCTGAATTATTTGCTCCATCTGCACAGGCAAATAACATTTTTTTCTACCTATTGATTTTGGAGCCATTGACAGGCAAAAAAAAAAAAATAAAATAAAGATCACATAAAGGCCAGAAGATTTCTATTCCCTTATGATCACGAGACAAGAAATGAAATCAAGGGCTTTTTACACACAAAGTTTATTCTTTCAGCTGAAGACCCACTGAGGCTCCCTACCACTCGATTAACTTCTTCCACTAAGAGACAATGTGGCTTTAATTTGCATGCACATAACCAAGAAAAGTCCTTGTTGATCAATATTGCCAGGATCTTGCCACTGCTCTGGTGACAGGTCTGCAAGAGAAATGCAGCAGAAGAAACAAAGAACTGGTACCTTAATGCTCCAGCAACACCTCTGCTGGAGCACCAATAAATACAAAATCTCTAAGTTACAGGAAGACAGGAAAAATGAACTGATCCAGAATTTCTAGTCAGAACTTTGTGATCTAAATTAAAGACTATGGTTTCGTTCTGAAGCCTATAGCTACAAGAACATCCTGAATCCCCTTCAAATTTTCCTGGCAAGTTGCACTACTGGCCTGTTATGAACACAGAAGGAAGCTGTGCAGCAAAACATCTACTCACAAGTGGGGAAGAGTTTTCTCTTGAGGGTTTTATTCCATAGCCCATTGACCTGGGACCACAAACACAAACTCATGGGAAATGAGAACAGATCAAATTCAGGCTGCTGAAATGCTTGAAAATTCTGGTGTCCTTTCAACACCTGGGGACTCACACATACCTCACCATTCCTCACTCCTGTTTCCCCTCTCTCCTGTTTTTCCCTTATGCTTTCTTCTTTCTTTCCAGAAGTAAAGAGGAGAGAAAAAAAGGAAATTGAGGAGCTATATAAACCTCATGACAAAAACTGAATATGAGAGAATGAATAAGGCAAATAAAGCTAATAAGAGGATGAAAATATTTTTGTAGATATCTAGTTTACCTGGTTCACCTTTAACTCATGGTAGATAACTATGAAAGTTCAGAAACAACATATAATTTGAATGATGTTAAAAACACCATTTGTTGATGGATTGATGAAAAATAGAAACTGAAGTACATTTCTTCACAAAAACTCTAACTTATACATGATTATCTTGCAATGAATTTGTAATGCATTTAAACAAATGTATTTTTCCAGAATATATCAATAAGTATGCGAAGTCTGTACAGACATTTAAACAAACTGCACTGTCTTCAGAAGAACAATCCAAAGGCAGATTTAAAAGTCAAGTGTGACAGGAATTTCAGGGACAGAAGTATTTTACATTAGGATCTAACCTGTTGCTCTCTGGCGAACCATATTTCTTGCTTTCTCAACTCCTGGAGCTCCAGAGGTCGTAGCACTTCTGAATCTCATTGGTTCCACAACTTCGGGGTGGTTTTTCCAGCTTAACGAAAAAGATCTTCCCACTACAGCTGTCTTCTGAGGCTCCAAAATTCCACCTTTGGTGTAAAGAAAAATTGAATCTCTATTATTAGGTGCTTTGGCATATGTTTTTCCACAGCATAAAGAGACTTAAGCAAGGAGAAAGACAAAATATTAATTTTCTGCTCTACATAGATGAGTTTTTGCAATTATTGAAAAACATCACTAGCTCAACTTGGTATATCAATTCCAAAATAGCACATAAATATAGTTTAAACACTATGAATAAAAGTACTTGAAAAAAAATTGTACTGATGACCATGGCAGGTTACAGCATAATCAATGACATGCTTCAATCCTGCTATACAAAAAAATGATCTTGAGCTCCTACTGAAAACTGAATAGTTATGTTTTATTGAAACTTATTCCCTTACCTCCTACAAGGTGGGAGGAGAAGATAAAAATCAAAGCATCTCACCTCTGCTTAAACAGATTCTTATAATAGATGATGGGTATTCATGTTAGATTAAATGAAATTTTCATTTAAAAGCTTAGATTGTTCGATATTACTAGCAGTGAAAAAACAGAGACCAACCTTTTCCTCTCTGTTTTTTTTCTTTTTGCTCGCTCAGCTTATCCAAGGGCAAGTTGGTCATTTCGACTCCATACACGGTCCTCGCTAACACCGCTGTCAGGGAATCCATAATGTTGGCCCACTCGTTGATGAGCTCCTCCCAGTCGGTGAGGGACGACAGGACACCAAGCAACTCGTCCCAGAGCTCGCGGGAAATGTAAACGCTCAGGTTGGCTCGGATCCAAGCGACAATGAGAGTCTGGGGGAAAAGAAAGAAAAGAGAGCGTCGCCATTGCTGCCGAGATCAACTCAAGGCACCAACCTGTAATTTGAATATGTGACAACCGAGCAGAGCTTCAAGCGTTCAACTACTGAAATCCCTTTTTTCTTTCTCAATATTTACATAATATATTGTACCTAACCACAACAGAGCAGAGCTTCGAGCCTTCAACTACCAAAATCCTTTTTTTCTTTCCCAATTTTTTCTTTTCCTTTTTTACTTTTCCCAATATTTACATAATATATTGTACCTAACACTGGCATAATATATAAACACAAGCTGATGATAAATCCATATTAGCTTCTCAGTAAATGCACAGTCCTAATGAGGAGTAAAATAGTTAATTAATAGGAATTTAATTCTGCTAAAGAGCAATACTACTATGAAAGAAGACAAAAAGTCAGTTTCACTTATGTGATCTAGGGCCTCTTTTCCTCATACTCTCGATTTTACAGAGGGTCATTCACTTTGATGCCTTACATATGCATTCTCTTATTGCAGTTCTTCATTACATAAACCCTTCATTTTACATTTTTTCCATGCATGCTTCAAAGAACAAGTTGCTGACCCAAACGAAGGTGTTCAGTCCAAGGTCAGTAACTATATTGAGACTAATCCTCCTATGCTCTTATAAGGTAAACTGAGATTAACTCTCCCTGAGGGCAACTGGGAATAAAGCATTAAACTTAAAGCAAGGTAGGGCAACTATTACATCTGCTCTTTGGTGTTGACCTTCACATCAATACTGGGAAAAGGGAAAGTGGTGGGTCCAGAAATAACACAGGGGTATTTTTCATCAATCACTTGTTTCACTTGGAACTTGTGTTGTCTTCTGTTAGTAAAAGGTTAAAAATCCATACTGACATTACTAAAAAGCAGTAGTATTTCATGTTTTACAAATAGCTTTCGTAATACTGTGCAAAACTAAACTAAAACTACAGATAATAAAAATTCTTAAGAAATTCCTTTCAATGAAAAACCAGTATCAGAAAAAAATTACTCACTCGGAAGAGTAATCCTGACATGCTTTGAGCGAACGTATCCTTTACTTGGCTCTCCTTGGGCTTCTGCATAACAGCTTCTGTTATTCTGAGGAGTATCTGTAACATCTGTTCCCTGATACCAAAACAAAAATGTACTTTTTGTTCACATTTTCTTAAAGCAATAAGACAAACAAACTAAAAAATGAGCCTAAAAAAATTTGGAATTTGACAGTTAACTTTAGTTCATTTACGTATAAATGCAAAACAAAACTCATGAGTACCACAGTAAATCAGCCTTTTCCTTGACCAGCAATTCTTCCATAAGGTTTATATGTTTATTTATATATAATGTACTTACCATGTTTTTTTATTCATTGATAGTTCCATTATCATGTGCCTAAAAATACTCAGAACTGCTCTGCAAGCATCAACTTGCTCCTTCAGAAGGGCAGGGACTTCAAGGCATGGTTCCAGTAAGAAAACATTTGCAGAGTTTGTCAAGAATACCTTTAAAAAAGGCATTTAAATTCAATTTACATAGGAGATGCACAAACAAGAGTCATACCTTACAATAAAGTACTTGTCCTTCCCCTAACTATGCCTTTCCTTTTCCTCAGAGAAAGGCTCCTTGCAACCTACATCATTCCACTGAAAAGTGAAGTTAGAAAAAAGTTAGAGACGCAACAAAACCATATATTACACAGTGTGGCTCCTTTATGTATCTCCCATTCTGCCAGGTAAAAGCATTATTCCTCCAGCTCCTCATTTCCTGAGACTACATGCTTGAGCAATCACTAATATTGCTGGTAAATTATGTCAGCAGAAGTCAATGCACAACTCCTATTAACTCCAAGTACCTGAAGTAGAAAACATGCACCTTCTTCGTTAAAACTAGTATTTGACTCTAAAACAGGGGTTTAATATATATTTCTGAAATGCTACAAATGAAGTTCAAAAGTTGTATTATGAAAACGCAATTGCTTGTAGCTGCTTCCCCTGGTCTCAGGGCATATAAAAGTTTTTACCAAGCTCCCCAATCAAAATTGACATTTTTGACTTACGTAAACCGATAGAATGATTTTCAGTAACTGAAGAGAAAGCACAGGATGCCTCCTGGCATTTTGGTATTACCTCTTCCAAAGCACAGTTGAACTGTTTTAGTGGTAACAGAAGGGCTCTCCGCATGTTGGAGGGCAATAAGTTGTTGGAGGGAAACAACTCCCAGCAAGTGTGTGTTGATTCCACACCTACAGTTTTCAATCTATAGTGACTTCTCATGAAAGCTGCTACAGCCTAGGTACCTAGGTAGCTATGCAGACTGAATAAGGAGAGATTCACATCCACTGGCCTGAAAATCTACAGCTGGTTGGGTCTTGTAATGATAAACTATCCATCATCATATATAACCATTTCATTTGGCAGAGATAGAAGTTACTTCACTAAAAACAATGCAATAACCATAACCCTGTAAGAATCTGCTCTGAATATTCAGCAATGATACAAGTCTGCCTAGGCACTGGCAGGCACAGTGTCTCTCAGTAAAGCAGAACTTGAATATAAAACCAAAATTTTAATACTAATAAAACTATGTTTAATGGAGAACTCTTCATATTTTTGTACTATTTAAAAAGTTCTGTTGAACTTCTTTTGTAAATAATTCATCTTGGTAAAGATTCAGTCTGTCAAGAACTGGAGGTTATATTTAGGTGTGCCTTACTCTTGCCTTCCTTGGGGAAGGAAAAAGACACCCCCACCACACAAAAGAAAAAATTAACACCTCCAACAATCTGTATACACTCAATAAGAGCTGCCTACAACTGCGAAGACTAGAGACAAGATAATCTATATCATCTGGTACCAATAAAAGGGAAAATTGAAAATTTCAGCTTGAGCAGTGCAAGTTAA